GGATTTTGATTTACAGTTTCCTGATTCATGATGTGAGAGGTATCTATTCAGATTTGTCCACCTTTTAATTGGATTGTTTGGTTTTTGCTGTTGAATTATTTGAGATTCTTGTACATACTGGATATCAGTCCCTTATTGAATGAATAGTGGATCAATTATTTCTGTCATTCAACAGATTGTCTATTCTCACTGTTGATTGACTCTGGGGCTTTGTTTCGGTTTGTTTTGTTGTTATTGTTGTTTGTTTTTCAGACACCTGTGCAGAAGCTTCTTGGTTTAATATGGTCCCATTTGTCTATTTTTTTTCTTGTCTGTGTCTTTGGGGTTGTGGACATAAAAGCTTTGCTTAGACCAGTGTCCTGAAGGGTTTCCCATATGTTTTCTTCTAGAGGTTTTGCAGTTTGGGGTCTTATGTTTAAGTCTAATCTATTATGAATTGACTTTTGTATATGGTGGGAGATCAAGGCCTAGTTTCATTCTTCTGCATATGCATATTCAGTTTCCCAGCATCGTTTATTGAAAACAGTGTGCTTTTCCCAATGTATGTTTCTGAAACCTTTGAAAATAAGTTGATTGTAAATATGCAGGTTTCTGAGTTCTCTATCCTGTTCCATTGATCTGTGTGTCTGTTTTTATGCCAGTAACATGCTGCTTTGGTGACTGTAGATTTATAGTATGATTTGAAGTTCAGTAGTACAATGCCTCCAACTTTGTTCTTTCTGCTCAGAGTCACTTTGGCTATGCGGGGTCTTTTGTGGTTCATACAAATTTAGTATTACATTTTCTATTTCTTGGAGGAACATCATTGCTATTTTGATAGGGGGTGTATTTAATCTGTAGATTGCTTTGAATAGTGTGGTCATTTTATTAATGAAAATATTAATTCATCCAGTTCATGAGCATTGGATATCTTTCTATGTGTATGTGTGCTTGTCAGTCTCTTTCATTTGTGTTTTGTCATTTCCTTGTAGAATTTGTTCACCTCCTTGGTTAAATGTAGTCTAGGTACTACTTTTGTAACATTGTAACAATTTCCAACATTGTATGTGGATAGCTTTCTTTTTCAGCAAATTCATTATTGGCATGTAGAAATGCCACTAACTTATGTATGCTAATTTTGTATCTTGTAGCTTTACTGAATTTGTTTATCAGTTCTAAGAGAATGTTGGTGTGGTCTTCAAGTTTTTCTGTATATAAACTAATGTCATCCGCAGGGAGGAAGGTTTTTACTTCTTGTGCGGTTTGGATGCGCTTTCTTTCTTTCTCTCGCCCGACTGCCCTGGCTAGGACTTCCAGTACTCTGTTGAATAGGAGGGGTGAGAGTGGGCATCCTGTGTGGTTCCAGTTCTGAGAGGGAATGATTTCAGCATATTCCCATTAGGATGACATCAGCTGTAGGTTTGCTACATATGGTCTTTATTGTTTTGAGCTATGTTTCTTCTACACCCAACTTGAGAGCTTTCACCATGAAGGGGTGTAGAGTTTTATCCAGTGTTTCTGTGTCTGCTGAGATGACCCTATGTTTTTTGTCCTTCATTCTGTTGCTGTGATGTGTCACACTTACTGATTTGCATATATTGACCCACCCTAGCATCCCTAGGACGTTATCAAAAAAAGATGAGTTGTTAGAGGCAGTTTTCTAGTTTTCATTTTGGGATTTTACATCTATATTCATTAGAGATGCTGGCCTGTGATTATTTTTTTTGTTGTTGTGTTTCTGTCTGGTTTTGGTATCAGGGAAATGCTGGCCTCCTGGAATAAACAGAAAGAATTTCTTCCTCTTTAATTTTTTGAAGTAGTTTGAGAATTGGTGTGTGTGTTCTTTTTTGAATGCTTGGTAGAATTCAGCTGTAAAACTGGGTTTGCCATTATTGGAGACTTTTAGTTATTTTATTAAGGTTGATTTAATTTTATTACTCATTACTAGTCTTTTCAGGTTTTCTATTTCTTTCTGGCTTAATCTTGGTAGGTTATGTGTCCATAAATTCATCTATTTCCTCTGGATTTTCCAATTGTTGGTGTATAGTTGTTCATAGTAGTCTCTAATGATCCTTAGTGTTTCTATGATATCAGCTGTAATGTATTTTTATCTTCTGGTTTTTGTTGTTGTTAGCCTAGCCTAGTGGTTTATTGATTTGTGTGTGTTTGTGCTTCTCTTTTCAAGATAACCAACTTTCTGCTTTGTTAATCTCTTTCATTTTATTTGTCTCTATTCCGTTTAGTCTTGCTCTTTCTTATTCTGATTTGGGTTTGGCTGGTTGTTGCTTTCTAGTTACTTGAGATGCACTGTTGGGCTGTTTATGTGAAATCTTTCTACCTTTTTGATGCAGGCTTTTATTGCTATGAAATTTCCTCTCAGCTCTGCATTTTCAGTGCCCATGGGTTTTGATATGTTGTTTCCATTTTCATTTGTTTCAAAAAAATTTATTTCCTTCTTAACTTCTTCATGGACTTCAATATATTTGTTTAGGAATGTTGCAATGAAACATTGAAGCAGATGCTTTTCATGGCTCCATGGAAGCCATATGTTGTTGTTTTTTAATTCGTGAGTGTGAGGGATGTTGACTATTGTCGAACCAATGTTCTTCAGGTTCCTCACACCTGCTCATCTTCCTGGCTGTGTGTTTGTGACTGTTTGCCTTTTTTTTTTTTTTTTTTGAGTCAAGGTCTCACTCTGTCACCCAGGCTGGAGTGCAGTGGCATGATCACTACTACTGCAGCCTTGACCTGCTGGCCTCAGGTGATCCTTCTGCCTCAGCCTCCCAAGTAGCTGGGACTACAGGTGCGGGCCACCATGCCTGGTTTTTTGTTTTTTTTGTTTTCCTTAAGAGATGATTTCCCACTATGTGACCTAGGCTGGTCTCTTTAAAATAAAATATAAAAATAAAATAAAAACAAGGGAAAAAAGAATTTGTTTAAACCCGTGGACACTGGATGTGATGGTGCATGCCTGTGATCCCAACACTTTGGGAGGCCAAGGTGGGAGGATTTCTTGAGCCCAGGAGTTCCAGATCAGTCTTGAAAGTGTCTAGTGTCTACCTATCCCCATCTTGTGCTCATATGACCAGTATTCAGGGCCTGTGTATGAATGAGAGCATATAGTATTCAGTTCTCTGTGTCTGTGATGGTTTGCTCAGTGGGATGGTCTCCAACTCCATCCAAGTTGTTGAGAAGGCCATGATTTTGTTCTTTATAGCTGTGTAGTATTATATGATTGCTTTGTTTTTTGCCACAGAGTAATAATTGGAGGAAACTAGATAATCAAAGTGGCCCCCTAGTACCGGTTGTCACTATTCATTGAGGTCACATGATAGCAAAAAAAGAAACTTAGCAGATTGAGGAGTGATTTCTAGGGCATTTCTGACAGGTGCTAAATTGTTAGGTCATCATAGACCAGCCTTCTAGACAACTTTGAGAAGCAATTCATAGCAGAGGCCTTGATTACACACCTATAAAATGAGTCAGGGAGTGGGGAGGCACAGAATCCATCCTGATGGCTGATGGGATTGATCTCATGCACTCATTGGCCATTTGTATATCTTCTTTGGAGAAACGTCAGTTCAGATCCTTTGCCCATTTTATGTATGTTATTTTGTTTTATTTTCTGAGTAGAAGTCTCACTCTGTCACCCAGGCTGGATTGCCAGTCTGGAGTGCAATGGCATACTCACAGCCACTAAAGCCTCAATCTACCAGGCTCAGGCAATCCTTCCACCTCAGCCTCCTGAGTAGCTGAGACTACAGGCATAAGCCGTTATGCCCTGCTAATTTTTGGTTTTATTGTAGAGTTGAGGTCTCACCAATTTGGCCAGCTGGTCTCAAACCCCGGGTTCTGGCAATCCTCTTGCCTCTGCCTCCCAAAAGTGCTGAGATTACAGGCATCAGCCACTGTGCCCAGCCTCATTTTTTTATTTATTGTAGAGACAAAGTCTCGCCAAGTTGGCCTGGCTGGTCTTGAACCCCTAGGTTCAGGTGATCCTCCCACCTCTGCCTCCCAAAGCCCTAGGATGACAGGTGTGAGCCACTGTGCCTAGCCTCTTTGCCCATTTAAATGGCATTGTTTGTCTCTTTATTAACAGGCACAGTGAGTATCAGCTGACCTGAAAACCAGATAACTGGTTGTTAGTAACTGATGGAAATGTATTTTCCAGTGTCCTTGAGTGTGACATACTACCACGACATTCCGTGACATGTGTATCAAATCTTATTTTGTCAGATACAGTTTTGAGAACTAAGACTACAGACAACAGAATATCTCAGCACTTATATGAGGGGGACCCCCCAAAAAACCCAGAATATATTTATAGTGTGTTTATTTTTACATGTTTAAACTTCAGTCCCCTTCAAAGTACTCCCCATTTGATGCAGTACACTTGTCAAGATGCTTTTTCCACTGCTCAAAATGGTTTTTGAACTCACCCGTATTGATGCCTTTTGGTGCTTCTGCCATTTTTGTTTCATCTCTTCCACATCAGCAAAACGTTTCCCTTTGAGGACTTTTTTTCATCCAGTAAACCAAAAAAAAGTCACTCGGAGTGAGATCAGGTGAACAGGGAGGGTGGGGCATGAGGTCATGCTGTTTTGGGTCAAAAACTGGTGAACACTCAGCGTGGTGTGGGCAGGTGTGCTCATCAATTGCCTGTCAGGAAGTGGGCAAACGCATTGAAAGAATCTCCCAAAAACTTCCCAGAAGCCAAACATAGTCTCTCACAACAATGTTGGCTGGTCCATGGATGCCGATGGGTTCCTAGAACACTCACCTGGAGGGGGCAGCCTGTACTACAAGGGGCCTGCCCTCCAAAGGATAATTCCGGTTTTTTGGGTCCCCCTCCCCTCGTATTCTACTAGCAGGATAAACAGGTATCATGGCAACTACTATATTGTCTATGAAGCATTGAGAAGGAGTAGAGAACGCTGCCCACCTCGTGGACTGAGCTTTGCTGTGTCAACCGGAGCCTTGGCCGTGAGATTCCCTTTTGAATCCTGTCCTCCTTCCCACAGGTCCCCTTTGCTCCCTATTAGCAAAGAATCTACCTTTCCACCCAGACCCGAGCTCGCAGCCTTGCGCTAAGATGGAAAACAACAGAACATCCTTCCTTTCCTGCTTTGGATTGCAATGGTGTCTCCAGGAACTTGACAAAGAAGAGCTCCAGACCTTCAAGGAATTACTCAAAATCTCTTCAGATCTGACCACACACTCTGTGCCACAGCTGGAAATAGACAATGCCAGTGCAGAGTGTCTGGCCTTCCTCTTGCACGAGTATCATAAGGGACCTCGTGCCTGGGCGATCACCACTCACATCTTTGACAGCATGAACCTGCCCATGCTCTCTGAGAAAGCAAGAGAGGAGATGAAGAGTGAGTAAGACTCGGGGTGGATCCAAAGGCTGGGGAGAAAAGGGGAGCCCCATGTTCTCGTGGAAGCGGGGAAGGAGTCTTGGTCTGTAGTGGGGTCCACATCTGTAGTGTGAGCCTGAGTTCACCAGCCGTCCTCACCAGCTGGACATCAGCATCATCTCCAGCCTGTGAGACAGTTGGGGAGGGGAAATGGTAGCTGACTTCTCTACCAGGTCAAAGTTCAGCTGAGATCGATGGGATTAGCATCGGAAGCGTGAGCTTCAGAGCTGTCGCTTGTTTGTTGTGTGTCTTTGGCAAAGTCTTCTCCTATTCTGACCCATTTGGTTTCTACATCTTGGAACCAGAGCTGTGGTGCTATATGAGATGGGACCCCCCCCAATGAAATTTATTTATAAAAAATTGTGTAGTCGCTCAGGGCAAGATCAGGTGGATCAGGAGGGCATGAGGACCATTTGGTCAAAAACTGCTGACCACTCAGCACAGTGTGGGCAGGTGCGCTCGTCAATCACCCATCATGAAATGGGTAAATGTGTTGAAAGAATCTCCAAAAAAATTCAGAGGCCAAACGCAGCCTCGCCCAGCAACACTAGCTGGTTGATGGGTTCCTAGAACACTCACTTAGAGGGGGAAGCCTGTACTACAAGGGGCCCACCCTCCAAAAGATCATTGTTACAATCTAACTCTGTGGCCCAGGCTGGAGTGCAGTGGTACAATCACAGTGAACCTCAGGCAATCCTCCTACCTCAGCCTCCCAAGTAGCTGGAACCACAGGCACATGACACCACACCCGGTTAATTTAAAAATTTTTTTTTTTAGAGATGAGGTCTCACTTTGTTGCCTGGTCTGGTCTCAAACTCCTGAGCTAAAGTGATCCTCCTGCCTCGGCCTCCCAGAGTGCTGGGATGACAGGTGTGAACCACCTTGCCCAGGCGAGAAACTCTTTTTCCACTGAAAGTACCCTCTGACAGCAGCCAGACTGGCCCTACAGAAAGTAGGCTTTGCCTATACACAGTCACCAGCGCAGCTCAGTGGCTTGAGAGCAAAGGACTTCAAGAACTGTCTTTCTGAACTTCAAAAGCCCCATGTAGAGGACACACTGATGTTATTCACAAGAAGAAAGGGTGTAAAAATTAGAATGCTAACTAGCATTGACCGAGTCCACACTATGCTGGTGCTGCTGTGTGCCCTGCCAATACTCAAACCCGCCCAGTGAAACAGGCTCCCATGGCTAAAATAGATCTTCCAAGTCACATAACTGGACCAAGTTCATGAGTTCATAAGTGGCAAAGATGAGATTCATTACTTAACATCTATTGAACATATATTCAAATTCTCATGTGTCAAGTGCTAGAGATTTACAGCTTTCAGTGGAGTACAGAAGAGAGACAAATGGGCTATTGTATTATTTATTCATTGAAACAAGGTCTCTCTCTGTCACCTAGTCTGGAGAGTGGTGGTGCAATGTTGGCTCACTGCAGCCTCAACTTCCTGGGCTCAGGCGAGCCTCCTGCCTCAGCTTCCCAAGTAACTGGTACAGGTGGGCACCACCTTGCCCAGCTAACATTTATTTGTTTGTTTGTTTGTTTTAGAAACAAGGTTTTACTATGTTGATTAGGCTGATCTCAAGCTCCCAGGCTCAAGCAATCCTCTCACCTCTTCCTCCCAAATTGCTGGGATTATTTTTTTCTTTTTTCTTTTTTTTTTTTTTTTTAAGATGTGTGGGGTACAATCCGAGGTTAGGTATACAAATGTTCATTATGCAGGTACCCTTGTTGATGAGGTGTTCCCCTCTCGCCTGGCAGTTTCCCACTACGGCCAATCCCTTTCTTTTTTTGTATTTCTTTAAATTAATTGTTTTTTAATTTTAAAGATGTGTGGTACAATTCAGGGTTAGGTATACAAGTGTTCATTATGCAGGTACCTTGTTGATGAGGTGTGCCCCTTTCCCCTGGCAGTTTCCCACTACTCACAATCCCTTTCTTAGGGTTGCTGGGATTATAAATTTGTGCCACCATGCCCTGCTGGACAATTCTTAAAATGGAGGGTATCAAGGTGTCCATTCCAGACTAGAGGGGAATCTAGAATCCCTTCCTAGAAGAGGTCAGCTTTAGGCTGAGACAGATGGAGAAAAAGAGTTGGTGAGTTAATCGAGCATGGGTGAGAACTTTCTGAGCATAAGGCAGCTGCATTACAAAGTCTTTAACAAAGGGCTTGGCTAGACCATGGAGAATGAGCAGAAGGTGAAGACAGAGGGATGGACTGGAAGTCACATAGCATGGTACTTTGAAATAATTGTGATAGAAAACATAAGCAATCAAGGTGTTCTAAAGGGGTGGGGGGTGTGGTGGCTCATACCTGTCACCCCAGTACTTTGGGAGGCCAAAGCGAGAGGATTGCCTGAGCCCAGGGGTTCGAGACCAGCCTGAGAAACTAGGCAAGACTCATCACTACAATAAATTAAAAAATCAGCCAGGCATGGCATGGTGGCACATGCCTATAACTCCAGGTTCTCAGGAAGCTGAGGCAGGAGGATCGCCAGAGCCCAGGAGTTTAAAGCTATGGTGAGCCATGAGCATGCCGCTGCACTCCAGCCTGGGCAACAGAGTGAGACTCTGACTCAAAAAAAAAAGGTTCAAAACTGGTGTGTTCTTTATAAACCTTAGCTTCTCCCGTGTGCAGCTGGCATGGGAAAGTCTGACGCCAGCATCTTTATTACAGGCTGAGTGAATAACTGAGATCCTGAGGCTTGTGTGGGTTCCCCTCAGGAATCTGAGCATGGGATGTTCTCGTCCTTGGCCTGGGCGATGGCTGTGACCTTGCTGAGACCATTCTCCCTCTTTCCATCTCTTGCAGAACATTTACCAGCTGACTTTCCCAAAGATTCTGAATCAATAAAGACTGGCCAAGGACCAAGCGTGGAAGAAGTACCAGGTTAGTGTGGTGGGGGAGTGGGTGGCCAAACAGATGTGTCAAAGCCCCGTGGGGAGTGGCTGCCCCTGTGGGACACACAGCTTGACTTCTGCCTGTCTGATGTTCTTCCTAGTCTAATGGCCCTGCCGTTAACTGGATGGGTGTTGAGGATCTGGTCATTCTGGTCCTTCTTATTCCAAGCTGAAGAGAACTCTGTGGTCTCATGGCTTTCTTATAACTCACGGGGTCCCTGTCACCTTCAATCTGGGTGACCTCATAACCCTACTGGGACAGTCCCTTCTCATAACCTGTTTTGGGGTCTTAGTGGAGAGAACAAGCCAGCATGAACCAGATGCTAAATTCCCCAAACATGGGAGTACCAACCATGTTCCAGGTGTGTGTGCTTACGATCTATCCATGGCCGAAGTAGAGGTGCATCCCCTATGTAGACGAAGCTCACAAGAAAGGCAAAAAAATAAAATAAGATCAAGTGGTTCAACCTGTCATCCCAGCACTTTGGGAAGCTGAGGTGAGTGGATTGCCTGAGCCCACGGTACGAGACCAGCCTGGGCAACTTGGTGAGACTTCATCTCTACAATCAATCAAAAATTAGCCAGGTGTGGTAGCATGCGCCTTCTCAGAAGGCAGAGGCAGAAAGATCGCCAGAGCCCAGCAGGTTGACGCTGGGGTGGCCGTGAGCGTGCCGCTGCACTCCAGCCTGGGCAATAGAGTGAGACTCTGACTCAAAAGAATTAGTAAATAAATAAGATCAAAACAGAACACACAGGAGTAAAATGTTGGCTGCAGATACCCACTACTTCCTACACCACTGCCAGCATTTCAGTTGTCTCCCAGCAGCTGGTGTGGACTGTGAAATCTCATGTGGTTTGGAAAGAGTCCAAACCACCCTCATTTTGATGTGACTTGGTTCAGGCTGAGGCAAGATACCCTTCAAAGCTGAAGTCTGAGTCGCTGATGTGCAAATTCCAGCGACTCAGAATCCCAAAGGTTCTACGTTGCTTAAGGTTTGCTGTAAATCCAGGCTTAACAAGCTGAGTATCATATCATTGTCCTTTGGGTGATAAAACTATGTTGTATGCTTTATAAGTTACTAAATAGGGCCAGGCGTGGTGGCTCATGCCCATCATCCCAACACTTTAGGAGACCAAGGCAGGAGGATTGCTTGAGCCCAAGAGTTCGAGACCAGCCTGGGCAACATAGTGAGACCTCTGTCTCTACAATATAAAAGAATTAGCCAGGCATGGTGGCGCACACCTGTAGTCTCAGCTACTCAAGAGCCTGAGGCAGAAGGATCACCCGAACTCAGGAGGTCGAGGCTGTGGTAAGCTGTGATCATGCCACTGTACTCCATCCTGGGTGACAGAGTGAGACCTTGACTCAAAAAAAAAAAGAACAAAGAAAGATGGACCTAAGCCAACCCAATAAATGCAGCTGTTTTTAATCAATCTACAAAATCCGATGTGGGCCGGACTCAGTGGGTCAGCCTGTCATCCTAGCACTTTGGGAGGCCAAGGCAAGAGGATTGCCTGAGCTCAGGGTTCAAGTTGGGCAACTCGTCTCTACAATAAATTAAAAAAATTAACCAGGTGTGGCAGCGCACGCCTGTAGTTCTGGCTACTTGGAAGGCTGAGGCGGAAGGATCGCAGGAGCCCAGCAGGTCGAGGCTGCAGTGGCCATGAGTGTGCCACTGCACTCCAGCCTGGGTGACAGAGTAAGACTCCAACTCAAAAAAAACCCAAAAAAACTAATCAGATGTGGTCTATCATACAGCAATACTTTATTTGACAACAAAAAGGAATAACAGGCTGATGCCTGCTGCAGCATGGGTCAACCTTAAAGACATTGTGCTGAGGAAAAGAAGCCCATCCCAAAAGGATAAACACTGTGTGATTCCATTCATATAAAATGTCTGGAATAGGCAAATCCATGTAGACACAAAGAGTGATTGGTCGTCGCCCAGGGCTGGGGATGATTGGAGAAACAGGGTAAAGATTTAAAGAGGACAGTTTCCTTTGGGAGGTGATGAGCATGTTCTGAGATGGACTGTCATGATGAGGACAGTCTGAAAATCCTCAAACCCATGAGACTGTACACTTTGGGTGAATTGTATGATTTGTAAACTTTATTTCAGTAAAGCTGAGACCAAAGGAAAACTCAATGGAAGACACTGAGATGCATCGACCTGCCCAAAACGCAGCTCCTAAGATACCTCCTTCCAGCAAAAGCTCTGTTCTTCCTCTAGAGCTTATTTTTTCAAATAGCTTCATTGAGGTTTAATTTATGCATCATAAAATCTTAAGGATACAATTTCAGGACTTTTAATAAATACAGAGGCCTACGAAACCATCACCACAGTCCAGTGGTAGGACATTTTTTATCACCTCACAATATCAGGCCCATTTATTGCATGATTTGATTTTTTTTTTTTGAGTCGGAATCTTGCTGTCACCTAAGCTGGAGGGCAGTAGCACACTCATGGCCACCACAGCCTTGACCTAGGCTCCAGAGATCCTTCAGACTCAGCTTTCCAAGTAGACAGAACTACAGGCATGCGCTACCATGCCCGGCTAATTTACTTTTATTTTTATTGTAGAGATGAGGTCATACCAAGTTGCCCAGGCTGATCTCAAACCCACGGGTACAGGTAGTCTACTCGCCTTGGCCTCCCAAAGTGCTGGGATGTTTCTTGTATCGAGATCTCACTGTCACTCAGGCTAAAGTGCAGTGGCACCAACATGGCTCACTGCAGCCTCAACCTCCTGAGCTCAGGCAATCTTTCTACTTCAGCCTTCCAAGTAGTTGAGACTACAGGTGGGCATCACCACACCCGGGTAATTTTCTTTCTTTCTTTTTCCTTATTTTTCTCTTTCTTTCTTTTTTTCATTTTTGTAGAGATGAGGTGAAGCTACCTCAAACTTGGATCTTGAGGTTGCCCAAGATTGTCTCGAATTCCCGGTCTCAAGCACTCCTCCCACCTTGACCTACCAAAGTTCTGGGATGACAGGCATGAGCCAGTCCTCCTGGCCATAACTTAAAATCTTTTGACTTTTTTTGTCCTAAATTTGTTAATGTAATAAATGACATTTGTAGATTTTTTTTTTAGCATTAAACCATTCTTGCATTTGTAGAATACCTATGACTCAACCATGAAGAAATACCTTTTTTATATACTTCCAGATACATCTTGTTAATATTTCATTTTTAAAATTTTTTATTTTAAGGATGTGGGGTACAAGTCAGGATTAGGTACATAAGCAGTCTACGTGCAGGCGAAGTTTGGGCCTCCCGCTGGTCCTCACTTAGAATTTGGAATCTGTGTTAGAGTTAAGTAGCCTATAATCTTTTCTGTAAGTGTCCTTTGCTTTTTAAATTAAGATAAAATTCACATGCCATAAACGTCTCCTTTTTATTTTTCTTTTTTGTTTTTCTTTTTTTTTTTTTTTTTTTTTTTGAGTCGGAGTCTCATTCTGTTGCCCAGACTGGAGTGCAGTGGCCGCTCCCAGCCACCGCAGCCTCGACCTGCTGGGCTCTGGCGATCCTTCCGCCTCAGCCCTCCAAGTAGCTGGAACTACAGGTGCGCGCTACCACGCCCGGCTGAT